TAATATGAACAATACTTAAATACTGTAATATAAATTCAATTCATCTTATGTTGTATGATAAAGGAATAGGAGAGTAACAAATGGTATTTGCTTAACTTATGCAGACACAAAAACATATTCATAACAAAGTAAGGAGGAAATGCTTATGACAGTTACAGTCCTCATTTCTGTAACTAGTCATGTGATCATAGCTGGTATTTGTAAGAATTATCTTCCACTACCAATTATTTGCCTTTGGCAAGTATTTCATCTGGTTGTGATTCTTTATCTAGTGGAGGGACTCAAACCTTCATTCCTAAAGAATCTGGACCATTAATGGTCTTATATGGATTAGGTTGTTGTGAGTTTTCACTGATTTTAATCACAAGGCATGGTGGTACTAAGAGACACTCAAAGGGATTTCATATATTCCAGATATACTCTTCCTTGCCTCCCTTAAAGAGTAGCAGTCCAATTTCCCCTTTATAGTCAGGATCAATCACTCCAGTCAGTACAGTGACTCCTTTCTTTACGTTTTGAGTCAGAGGCATGAGGAATCCCAAGTGGCCAGGAAATAGTTCTCCAGTTCAATGGAATCATTGTTGTGTATCCTTGTGGGCATTCAACCCTCTGGAATTAAAAACTCTAGGCCAACATATTTTAAGGTCACAGGAACTGGGAGCAAATTTTTTGCTAGTGAGTAACAAGAATCATAGTGGTGCCAATCCTATTTCTACCTCTTGGTTCTTAGACCAGTTTATCCTGCCTGTGGGAAAAACAGTTCCACATATTGGATGCTGATTTAAAGCATATACACCTTCTAGAGAAACTTGCTCCATCCCTGGAGATATTGGCTCCTAGCTGTCACAGTAATTGAGACTTCAGAATGTTATTCCACCTATCAAATCACCTGCTCCAGTGTGATGGGAACAATTGTAGGACCAATGAATTCCATGAGCACTCACTCATTGCCAAGATTCTTTTGCTTTGATTAGAAGCAATGCTGTATGGAATACCATGATGATGGATAAGGCATTCTGCTAAGTCCTTGACTGGTAATTTTGGCAGAAGTATTGTGCACACAGAAGGCAAATCCATATTCAGAGTGTCTATTCCAGTAATAAGAAAACATTGCCTCTTCCATGATGGAAGCAGTCCAGTGTAATCAATTTGCTACCTCAGGAATGGTGTCATCTCCAGAACTCAATGTTGGTCAGCTGCTGGGAGGTTGGGTCCTCAGTAGTGGCTGTAGCCATATGGCCCTGAGTGAGTTGACGTGTATGTTGCTGAGCCCAAGCATATCTTCTATCCCTACCACCATGGACAGTTTGTTCATGAGCCCAAGAGATGGCAGGGGTGGCTGGGGAAAGAGGCAGACTGGTATACATAGAATAGGTCATCCTATTTTCTTGATTATTAAGATTCTAGTCTATTGAAGTCATCCTTTGGTGAGCATTCACATAAGATACAAATACCTTCATATTTTTTGCACTTTCAAAGAGTTTTACCCAGAAGCTTCTGCTCCAGATTTCCCTCTCACCAATTTCCAATCATGTTCTTTCCAACTTCTTAAACATCCAGCCAAACCATTAGGGACAGCTCATGAATTGATACATAATTGCATGTCTGGTCATTTTCATTTCCAAGTAAAATAAACAACCGGGTGTGCTGCCTGAAGTTCTGTCTACTGAGAGGATTTCTCTTTACCAGTGTCCTTCAGGATGTCCCAGAAAGAGATTGCAGTGCTTCATCTGTCCACTTTTTAGTGATGCCTGCATATCATGCAGAGCTATTTCTAAACCAGTCCCGAGACTTTTCTTCTTCTATCAGCTGACTGACGGAATTCCTTGTGAAGCCACAGGTGCAGGCTGGGAGAGAGAAGGCAGTGTGAAGTGGGCACCATGGGCATTTGAGCTACTTTTTCCTGTAACTTACCCGTGCTTCCAGGGCATGTTCAGATGTGTCATGTATATACCACTTCCATTTGATGATGGAGCACTTACTGCTGTGCACAGTCAACTTTATGGGTTTATTGGTCAGATAACACCCAGCTGATGATGAATACCTCAGGTTATATGGTAACTTGGTAGCCAATGGTTAAGTATTCAGTTTCTAAGGCCCAATAGTAGGCTGAGAGCTGTTTCTACAACAATTAGCCACAGAAGATAGCAGTTCTTTGCTCTAAAATCCTAAGGGCCTGCACTGCAAATTTACCTACAGGAGCCTGTCAAAGGCTCCTTCTAGTATCTCTATCTGCCACTGACACCTCAAATAGCACTGGATTAACGTGATTATATAGTCAAAGTAGCAGAGCAGCTCACATAGTAGCCTGAACCTGTTGTAAAGACTTCTCAAGTTCTCGGTCCCCCTCAAAACTAGCAGCTTTTCAGGTGATTTGGTAAATGGGTAGAATAACACCCCTGTATGAGGAATACAGTGTCTCCAAAAATCTAAAGAGTCCCAGTAGGCATCATCCCCCCTTTTTTGGTTGTAGAACTGGCCAGAGGTAATAATTTATCCTTTACACCCTTTACTATTTATCCTTCAGTGGGCTTTGGGGACCCACTGAACTCACCATGAAACAATCTTCAGGTAAAATTGCATTAGTCACCTGACTTCTACATTCCTCTACTCTGGTGTAAAGATCACACTAATGTTTGGTTGCCTGGAATCCCCAGGGCTAGAGCAAATTTCTCTAGAAGCCTGTTTTAGGTTTCCCACAATCCCCAAAGGTCTGATTAATTTCCTTTTTTTTTTTTTCTTCAGTGCACAGCTAATCTGATTAAAGGTATTTGTTTATTTGGGAAAGGCTGGGAGAAAGAAAGTACATCTTCTAGACACCCTTAGTATGTATGAGTAGGTCTAAATGACAAATCTGCTCTAACATGCAAATATCCCTAAGGACTATTTATTCCCTTTCTCTGCAAAAACCAGACTAATACAAATTTTATTTATATAAAATATAATTCATGTACTTATATATTATATATGAATATTATACATATCATATATAAACAAAATTGATTCTCTTTTTCAGGAATTGTATATGTTAAAATACATATTATATTATTATATGCAATTTATATTATTATATATAAACACATAAAACAAAGAATTGGCTCATGCTATTATGGGGCCTGTAAAATTTCAAGATCTGCAGTTAGCAAGCCAGAGACCCAGGAATGCTGATGCAATAATTGAAGTCTGAGTCCAATGCTTGAGAAACCTGAGAAACAATGGTGTAACTTCCAGTGTCAATCTATAGCAGGTAGAAAGAGTGAATTTTCTCTCACCCAGACTTTTTTGTATTCAGGTGTTTAAAGGATTAGATGAGACCCACATATAGGGGAGAAGGGCAATCCACTTTGCTCAGTCTACCGCTTCAACTGTCCATTTCATCTAGAATCATCTTCATAGACACACCCAGAATAGTGTTTAGCCAAATATCTGGGCACCCTTTTGCCCAATTAGGTCGATATATAAAATTGGTCACTTTGGCATGTACCTATTTAATTTTTTTCAAATTTCTAAAAAAAATACTGCAGTGGGGGAAAACTAAAAATGATACTTTTGGAAAATAATAGTTAATTTAGAAATGTATCTATAATTAATTTTATGTTTAATGTATTCAAGTTTAGAAGAGGAAATAAGTTCTTTCCAGGGAAAGAAGACTACTTGGTCCACTGAGATCTAAACAAATAATAATATTTTGATACTCATCTTTCTTAAGGCATTTTATATAGGCTTTATTGAATCTTTAGTGTGAGGAAGCGTTTCGAGTAGAACAGGAGGGGAGGCAAGCAGCAATTAGGAGATTGCTGTAGCGATCTAAGATATGATGGAACATAAAACAAGGGTGGTAATATACAGATGGAGACAGATAGATGGGTCAGGAAGATATTTCAGAGAAGAAAAGGCTGCAGATGGTTATTGTAACATTGGGATTAAAAGGAAAAGAGGAATAAAATGTAAATACCAAGTTTTTAATTTTGGTTAACATGAAAAACAGATTCAAATAGTTAATGACTTCACAGATGGAATGGGGCACCAAAGAAACGGGTAGAGGCAGGATATAATGGAAATTGTGATGTATGTGATGGAAGACAACACAGCAGGCATAGGCTAGTTAAGGCTCAAGTTTCAGAATAATGTTACATTTGCAAGCACCTTAAGACTATTTTCCAATGCAAAATTTCTGTGAATACTTGATACATTTTACCTGTCTTAAATACCCTTATACATTAAAAAGTTTATTTTTAAGATGGGTATGTAACAGAAGAAGGAAGATAATTTATGATAAGTTCCTCATATTTTTGTTAAATTATTTATATGATCAGGGGGAAAGTCTTGCATATTTTATATCACTTGATATTTCAAATGTCCATAAATGTCAATCCCCCCCCCAAAAAAAAAAATTCGAACACTGTGTTTGAAAAAGTACCCTCCCAAAGTCTCATAGAGAAAAATGCATGATATAAAACTCTCTCTGATTGGTCTCTCTAATGACAGAAACTGTGCATCTACAAACAATATTATACTGAAAGGAGGAAAAATCACTTCAAAGTTTACCGTATTTTTCTCTAAATATATCTGCATAATTTCAGAAACTCCTCATATCACTTCTTTTGAGTTTAGTGATTTTAAATGTAATCAAGAGTATATTAATATTTTATACTCAAGATCTAGGTTAATAATTTTTTTTTGCTAATGTATTAGAGGTTTAAATTGCAGTAGCATTCTATTTTAAAATAGTTTGGAAACACTGTTTTGAAAAAGATATATTCATTTTTGTTATATTTTAAATTTGGTCCATTAAGGTATATAAATATAATTGTTTACAAATTTATTCTGAGAAAGATAAAAGTGAAATGCTTAATTTTCTCACAGTGAAAATTAAGATAACCATTGTAGTCACTGTTCCAGTGATGGTATGTGGAGATAAATTGATTTGTGCCAAAATTATTTTTCCTATAATAACAATGCATATATTTATAGAACTCTTTTTTTCTACTTCTCTAAAGCTTCACACTGACCAAGATAAAGGAGATGGAAATTTAAAGTACATATTAACAGGCGATGGGGCTGGCAGTATATTCGTTATAGATGAAAATACAGGAGATATTCATGCTGTGAAGAAATTAGACAGAGAAGAAAAATCCCTGTACATTCTTCGTGCCAAGGCTATAGACAGAAAGACCGGGCGGCAGGTGGAACCGGAGTCTGAATTTATCATTAAAATCCATGATATCAATGACAATGAACCAAGATTCACAAAAGACTTATACATTGCGAGTGTTCCTGAAATGTCTGGAGTAGGTAGGTATATGCCAATCCATGTAAACTAACTTTTTTGTTTGTTTGCTAAGGTAATTATTATGGACATCTGGTTACGATATGTGGCCTATTTCAAGAACTATAACTGAAAACTACTATTTTATGTTAGCTATCTCACTTCTAAATATTTCCAACAGTATATATCTTACTGTTTCCTGCTATGCTGTAACATATCTAAAATGATTAGCACAGAGAACAGTTAGTTCATTGTACTTCAACAAACATTGTCACCTCTACTCAACTGCCATTCAAATAGCAGGCAAGTTGAGTGTATTTCTGTCTGAAATGAAAGGAATACAAACAGTATCAACAGTTTGGGGCAGTTTTGCTCACATTATTTTGCATAATAACAACTAATGCTCTTGCATTTGACAAATTTCGTTTGATCATTTCATTTGATCACTGAAACAACTTAATGTTGTAGGCATGGGAGATAGAACTTCAAATCCTCCTTCTGTTAATTAGGAGCCCAGGATTCAGAAAGATTAAGCAACTGAATTAGATCAAATCACCTGGTAGCATAACAACAATATTTCAAATCTTTTTATGTTATTTCAGTTATTGCTCTGCAAACTGAAAATAATTGTTTCATTTTTAAGGCTGCCCATAGTTTTAAATACCATTTGTTATGCGATTATTTTAATCTGTATACCTGACTACTTTTAGCTCTACTTATACAAAAAGTTTAGATTTGTTAATGACTCTTAAATTATAACATATTTCTAAAATATCCTCAGTAAAATAAGCTTTTATAATATCCAAACTATGCAACTGATTTTCACAAATTGATGCTATTGAGTTGAATATCATTTTAAAATTGGCGTTAAGTATATGTTTGACATTATTATAATTAATACATGTATATTTCAGTCTAAAATAATTTCCTTATGAGGAAAAATAAACATATCCACCTTTAGTGAGTGATTAACATAAAATGTTTCTTAACTCCCTGCCATGTAGTCAGAAGAAACAAGAGTTTGTAAAAAAGTTATAATTTCCTCTAACATCAAAGGGAATCTCAGCTGTCTGAGAAAACCACAGTTTCTACTGCCTTTTCTGGCATTCATTTCAATAATATGAAAGGGACTTATCGAGTTAGACAGCAGTCCTATGCAATCATAAAGCCTAGGATGAAATATGAGCAGTTATGTTCTCTTTAATAATTTTAAATGTGCATTTTCCTGGTACAGTTCCATGAAAAGTACTCGTCTGGTCCATAGAGGTCAACCAATGTGCCAATGTAAATCTACATCATGATCTCTTTGTGGGCTTACATTTGAGATGAAGATAAATCTGAAAATTATCTCATCTCAAATTCCTATTGATGAGCACTCTTAAGCAGTTTAGTTTTCTAGTTAACACCCTTTAACTTTTATAAAACATTATTGTTTTTCTTGTATATATGTTATTTGCAAGATATTTTGCCACTTAATAGCACACAAACTTTCACCTTTCCTTCTCCAAAAACGTATGATATCCCTATAGAAGTAAAAAGTATAATTGAGATGACAGAGATAGTTGAATGTGATACATTTTGATAATAATTGATTTAAATTTGTATAACTTCAAATTTTCAAAACATTAGTTCATTTTTAAAAAGACAATATTTATTAGAGACTTTTGTATTGTTGACACTATTACTCCCCTTTGCCCACCTCCACCCAGCCCCTGCTCACCCCTTCCCTGGTCTGTGCTCATGGGCCATGCATATATGTTCTTTGGCTAATCTAATACTTAAATAGCCTGTGTCTTCTCTCATATTATTTTGTTTATTTAATGGAATATTATCATTTATACAGGGGTGGGCAAAGGTAGGTTAACAGTTATAATACAAATAAATAATAATTAATAAATAATAATACAAGAATAAACTTTCATGTACTCACAACTGTAAACCTACTTTTTGTCAACCTCTGTATACCTAATTCAATTATATTTTTTCTCATCTGAAATACAAATACAATCTACATCCTATCAGTATTTATCACATATGTAATAAGATCAGAACTGTACTAAGCACATCTATACAGTGTTTTTTTAAAAGTCCTTGTCTTATTCAATACTCATAATAAAACTTGTCTCTCAAAAACATGTCCAGTTCTCCTTCCACACCATCCACCCAAAAGGAATTTCCTCTGTAGTTTTTTTACAGATCACACAAATAATGCATCAGTGAATCCTTCATGTCCTAATCCAGGAACATATTTAGAGGTCACCATCTGTAAATTCAGTATGTAACGTGTACAATCTTACCCATAGCACCAGACAGGCCATTTAGTAAAGTGTTTAGAATGAAATGAAGTTTCATTCCTCAGACTGGCTACACTGAATCCCATCCCTGTCACCTCCTAGGCCTGTGATCATGAGCAACCTCGCTATGCCTCAAGGCCTACATGCTCTATTTATTATTAGGATAAGTAATGATATAAATCAAGTACTGAGAACTCTGCACATTGTGGTGGGGAGAAAATCACTTTATGGTATTTGCTTTGGTCTAGCCAGGACGTTAGTACACGAGCAGGTGTTTTCACATAATAAAAGAGGACGTCAGGGGTTGACTGCGAGATGCAGTGTACCTTCTCACAGGGTGTATCAGTCCACTGCAGCTGAAGAAACAGCGGCCTCCAGGGAAAGGACTCAAGGTCTCATCTTTGGACAATGAATTTTGAGAGCACATAAAAAGACTTGCTAAGTTAGTATTCAAATATGTTAGTGGGAAATGAGCTGTTAGTTGTATCTTAATGTACAGCATATTAAGTTTTTGCATTTGCATTCACATAGATATGAAAATTTGAAAACATTCACCACAACTCAATAAGACAAGTCATGAGTGTATAATGTAGGCAGGGTGTTAAAATAGGTGACAGGGCCAATTTGGAACTTGCCCAGTCCTAAAGAATTTTAAAATCTATGTAAGAATTTGAATCAAACATTTGAAAATTTATATGTAGTATACTGGAAAAAATGTCATACAAATTCATTTTTCCCAAGGTAGGCATCAGTTAATAGTAGTTTTACAACCATGCTTTGGCTCCTTATAGAGACCTAGTGAAATGTAAGGAAAGTCTATCAATATATGGCATTAGGTCTGGCTCCTGAAGCTAGCTCCTTTAAAACTTTTAAAAATCTTTTAAAGAAGATTATTTTTGACAAAGTTTAAAGAAAATAATTTAAATTTTATAAAATAAAATTAAACAGAGTAATGTTAAATTATAGTATTGCATGTGACAGAATTATACACTTTCTTAACTATAAGGGAAAAATCTAATTTACATATATCAGCAAATAAAATGTGTAGCATATCTATAGGTATAATCAAGTGTGACTGTGCTCACTACATTTTATAGGGAAGTAAAGGCACTTAACAATCATATATGTCTTGCCCATAAAAGAAAAATATTGCAGGCCAATTTTATAATATTCTTGTTTGTTTTTTATAAAAAACAAGACCTCTCCATTTTTTATTCCACTTATAATATATAGTTAATTTACCAGAGTAAAAAGCAGAATTTGTCTCATTGTACTCATATTTGTGATATGTTTTTTATTTAGTTAGCTCAAATCATAAAAGCAAGGAATATTTAAATTTAAAAAAGAATAAAAGAGAAATTTGAGGGTTTTATTTTTCCCCCCACTCTAGGTTACTTTTTATTAAAATTTTTTTAATGTTGACATTATTGCAGGATTCCCCTCCGCCCCAACCCTTTCCACCTCCACCTCCCCCCACCTACCCTTTCCCTGCCTTCATCAAATTATTGTCCATGACCATGGGGTATGCATATGTGTTCTTTAGTTAAAGTGAGGGTTTTTCTGAGGCAGCACAATTTAAACCAATTTCTCCCAACTAACCACAGTCTAACACATCACCCTCCCTGCAATAATTTTTCAGGAACATAGCTTCTCATGCAGAAGTATTTAAGCGTCTGTGTTTGGGTGGGGATTCATGTAGGTACATCTGTTATACAAGTGACTGCGACGGATGCCGATGATGCCAACTACGGAAATAGTGCCAAAGTGGTCTACAGCATATTGCAAGGACAGCCATATTTCTCAGTGGACCCAGAATCAGGTAACAGCGCTTAAAATACGGTCTGTTTCTCATTATAAAATGCATCTGGATGCACAATTCATTTGTATGTTTTTCTGTATTTTAAAAGCTATCTATTCAGTATCTGTTTCTACTTTTTCCTTACAGTTATTACATGGAAATAAAGGCAAATTTCCTGTAATTTAAATAGATCATTTGAATCGTTAGCTCTTTGAACTATTTATTGAGTTTATGTTTATGACACTAACTACGAAATTTCACAGAGATTTACCACTTTATATGTCATAGGAAATACTAAAATCTAACCACACGACAATCATCAAAATTAAGCTTATGATTCTGATGATTTTTGAAGTCAATTTTTTATTAATCAAAATGATTTAGAAAAAGTCATTTCCTGAACAGTAGCCAGTGGAATAATTCTTTCAGTTCTGTCAATTATGTGAAATTGGTTAGAGATTGAAATAAGTATTTAGGCACAACATTGTACCTGTTTGTTATGATTAACTTCTCTAAAATGGACCTTGCATAGTTTAATTTTAAAAATCAGTGATTACATTATAAAATATTTCTCTACTTTTCCAAAAGGTATAATAAAAACGGCATTACCAGACATGAGCAGAGAAAATAGAGAGAAGTACCAAGTGGTTATACAAGCCAAAGACATGGGCGGCCAGATGGGAGGCCTTTCTGGAACCACCACAGTGAACATCACTCTGACAGACGTCAACAACAACCCTCCTCGATTTCCCCAGAGTAAGAAAGGTCTCAGGGATCTCACGTCAGAAGGCTTCTCCAACACACCACAAACAGAGGCTAATATTTGTACGAGTGGTTTCACTATCACTACATGCATAAAGGCAAATCCACACCACTTGTCCCTGCGATATATCATGATTTCCCACAAACTGAGAGTTATTATGATCATTTTCATCAGTGAGTAGGTAGTAAGAGAAAACATGAAAATGATGTTCTTTTGGCAACTTTAATTATCCCCTTCTACCTTTAGAAGGGCTATAAAGTTTTCCACACTATCTTTCCCAAACTTCGCTGTGATCAACTCATTCTTTCTCTTACCCCTTTCCCGGTTAGAGTATGGACTCTCAAATCTGACTGCCTGGCTTCAAATTCCTTGTCCATGATTTGTCTTGCCTCAGTTTTCTTGTCTGTACATAAGAATTATAACTTCTTCTTTAATTGCTTCTAAAACACAGACTTGATGCTTGCTTAAACAATCTCTGACATCAGATATTATATTAAAATCAATGCATATTGGTTCAATTGGCAGCACTTTCCTTTTCTTAGTGGCCCACAGAGTTATGGTATAGCTCAGCTGTGATGGCATCTGAGATACGTTGTAGTTTGCTGGTATCTGCTACCTGCTTGTGAAGGTTGAATCAGTCAGTGCTCTTTCAGTTGTCACCATTTTGTATGCCATGAGGTCCTACAAAAACAGATTCCCATACTCTGCTGAAAATGTTTCCCTTCTGCAGTATATAAACGTATAAAGGTGCCCATCTTAAAATGCTTAATTAAAGACCTCAAACTTAAATTTATGACATTGATTTCAATACAGTAAAGCATTTTTCCAAGCTAATTAAATTTAAAATATTTGATGATTCAGCTTTGGATAGTGGACTTAAATATGTGATAAATGTTAAAAAATAAAGTTTGCTACGAGTATAACTAATAAGCCTAATTAAGATAAATCTAAACCTTGTTTTGAGTTTCTTTAAATATAAATCAAAAGAGTATGATTTAATGAATTCTCAAATGGCTGGCCATTTTCTAGTTCTATTAAAAACTTAGCAAAATCTTTGGAACTACAGTAGTAATAGTAAAAATATTCAAGAACTAGGCCCCAAGCTAAGCATATTAAAGACATAATTTCATGCAATTCTTATAACAAACCAATGAGTCCATCACTATCATTATTGTTATCATTTTATATATGTGGAAATCAAGGGTTAGAGAATTTAACTAACTTGCCCAGTGATGGCAATATAAATCCAGGCAGCTATATTTAGAGATCCCTCTTCTTAACCACCAAGCAAACTGGAAAGAGAGCAGACTTTGAAGTCAGAGAGCCTTTGTTCTGCATCTGCTTTCCCCAACATTACAGGATGATTTCCTTGAGTCCTGTCCCTGAGGATAGCATACCTACCTTAGTCCTATGAAAACTGATGATATAATTAAGTTAGCATAGAGGACCTTTAGCCTTATATAGAGTTCAGCACATACTGAGTGTTTAAAAACATTTCTAACTTTCATTGACATATTTTTGCAATTTTTTCTGCTATTTGTATTTTGAATAAATAGTAAGAAACCAAAAATGCTTTCAGAGATAGCATAATGCAATAATAATGTTTGGCTCAAACTTCAGGAAACAGAAACATTCATATCCCACTTAAAGGCATTAATACTTTAAAAATCTGCTGTATATAAATTTATTTTTCTATCCCTGATTTAGAATATAAAAATAAATGCTTAAGAGGGCAAGAAACCAAGTATGTACTGCTTATCTAGAGCTTTCAACATCGTCATTACACATTTTTATGTATATTAAATTATTTAAAAGATTTATTTGGTTCTTGCCCTAAGTCAAAGTTCTGGATTCTAATATTATGCCTGCCATCAATTATCTGAATAACCTTGAGACATTCACTTAATCTTTCTGGAACTTATATTTCTCAATTACAAAATGAAAGTGTTCTGCCTTTATAAATTATTTTTTCAACTTAATAAATCTATAATTTTTGACAGCTTACAATTCAATATGATGAAAAACTCTTCCGATTTAAAATTAATTTATTTAAGTGAAAAAGGCAAAGGAAATGAAGGCTTTTTGCTATCTAAAGATGAAATGTCAAGAGCTCTGATTTAATTTCCAGGTACGTATCAATTTAATCCCCCTGAGTCCGTACCCCTGGGAACCCACCTTGGAAGAATAAAAGCCAGTGACCCTGACGTGGGGGAAAACGCGGAGATGGAGTACAGCATCGCTGACGGGGACGGGGCTGGCATGTTCGAAGTCATCACTGACCAGGACACGCAGGAGGGGATTATAACTGTCAAACAGGTTTCTTCTCGCCGTCTTCATTTTCTTATTGAGCACTTTCTGGTTGAGTTTTGCTTTTCAGCTAAGGGAAGGAAAGCCTAGGGTTTATTTTGCCCACCCTTTACAGGCTGTCTATCTCCTGGGTGAGTGGGGACAGTTGTGATTTCACTTCAAGTAAGTTTTAAGCACCTTCATCACTGACACTTACAAAGCGATGTAAAACCTTTACTGCTCGGGCTTATAGAAGGCAACAATCAAACCAGGATTAGACAACCTCCGAAGGACTACATCATGTTTCTCCGTGGCAGAAAAAATAGGCATGCAGCCATCATTTTATTTGATGCACTTTTTAGCATAAATTGTGAAATGTGATGTTTTATTCAAGGTGATGAGGCCTGAAGATGCTATGTGGTTGTTTTTGTTGGATTTCTTGAGGTTTAATGCAGTGTGGGATAACATTATGAAGCTTACAAAGAAGAATCCAGCTAAATATTGATTACTTTCTATTGCCTTGATTGCTTGCTTTCATTCACCTCTTGCTTTCTTCAGTGCTCAGATGAATGATTTTTCTTTTCTTTTTATAATACCAGTTTTAGAAATGTAGGACCTAAGGATGCAACTTTTGTGAATAGTATAAATCTCTATTTTATTTTTTCCTCTAATTTTAACTTTGTATAACTTTTGCAATAATAATAGTAATAAAAATAAATAACCTATGTATCCATTAGATAATAAACCTGTGACCACCAAAATGTGAAATGTATTACTAACTGGGAAACACTACTAATGTGTATGCTATAATATGATTACCTCCTGTAAATAAGTGTAAGGCATAACAGTATTTACTAATTCATTTGATATACCTATGAAGTAATAATTGGGAAAATTATTTAGCCAGAATTACTGGTACCATTAAGAGAGCTGGTTATTAAATATAATATTGAAGTTGTCTTTCATTGTTGCGCCTGCTATATCATCTTAACTTTTCTTATTTTATTTAACCTCAGAATTTAGATTTTGAAAACAAAATGCTGTACACTTTAAGAGTGGATGCAAGTAACACGCACCCAGATCCACGATTCCTACACCTGGGACCTTTCAAAGACACAGCTGTGGTCAAAATATCTGTGGGAGACATTGATGAGCCTCCTGTGTTCAGTCAGGTTTCCTACTTGATAGAGGTAGATGAAGATGTGAAGGAAGGCAGCATCATTGGGCAAGTCACAGCCTATGACCCAGATGCCACAAACAACTTCATACAGTAAGTATTGTGAGAAAATTCAAGTTTGCAGAAAAATAATATTCTCATCATTTACAAGCTATGTGAAAAAATAACATTGTACAATGTATGATCAGGTACAGACACTTCCATAGCACAAACTCTTAAGTGGGCTGTCTTCTAAGTGCTCTGCATATATTATTTAATTTGACTCATCACTTTATAAGGTAGATCCTATTATCATACCTTTCTGAAGACGGTTAGACTAAGGCACTGAGCATTTAAATCGCTTGCCAAATAATTAGTGGCCAAGCTGGGTCTGAAAATCGGGCTGTCAGTCTTCAGTCTGTGATTTTTAATTCCTTAGGTGTTGTGATTATATCTTATTGTCCCACTTTGGTAAATGGTAGTTCAAATAATAAATAACCTAAGCAAATAAATTAGAAAAAAAATGTGTTCCTCTAGAAATAGTAAGAGATGCCTTGAAAATGTTGAAATATCTCCTTTTGAAACAGTCACCAGGAATAGCATATATTAAAATTTTGGAAAAACAATGTCAATTATATGCTAATAACAGAATTAGTAATGATAGTAATAATATTTGAGAATAGTAAAAGTGTTAAAATGTGTATAATGTATAATATAGTGTGATACTTTCACAAAGTTTGAATATTGTATTAACCATTTCAAAGCTTTCAATATGCCAGAAACTTAAATTTATACATAGTGCTTAATGAGAATGCAAATAATAAATGGATATATAGGATGGGTGAATGAAGATGCGTAGATATGTTGAAGACAGAGTGTGGAAAAGACAGATAAATAATGCATTATGTGCTGATGTGTGGCTAGTAAAATGAATAAAATTGTGCTATGTTAAAATTTTTTTTTTTTTTTTGATTAACCCTCATCTGAGAATATTTTTTCCATTGGTTTTTAGAGAGAGTGGAAGGGAGGGAAGTGGGGGAGAGAGATCGATCGGTTGCTTCCTGCTTGTGCCCCAACCAGGGCTGGGGATCAAATGCAACCCAACTATGTGCCTTTGACCAGGGCAAATTTAAATTTTTAATTAAAGAAAATAAATGGGTAAATTATTATTGGAAAATCCCCAGTTCCCTAGAATTTATGTCATACTATCACATAGAAAATTAATAAGCACAATACTAAACATATAATTATTAATTTTTTAAAAGAGGTAATGACTATTTGATAGTGTTAATTTATAAAGCAGCACTTATTGCACTAAATATATCTTAATGAATTTTTAATTTGTTGATTAATATATTATAAGTCCATAATTTTAATCTGTAGTTAATGCTCAGATTTTATAGTTAATACTCAGAGTTTATATTACCTTGAAATATTTGGCTAATTTTAGGCTAATTTGAATAAAATTTACTTAGATTTTTATTGTAATAAACATTTGTGTTTAAGTTATGTATTATGCATATTGTTCAATATTATTTATAAACATGAACTATAATATTAATGCATAGAAGTTTACTCTGACAATTTTTATCTGAATGCATAAAATGTATTTAAAATCCCTATATTGCATAAAACAAAACTCCTAAAATGAAATGAATGAGTAATCTAGCTTCTCCAGTGGTCCTGTGTATGTGCACTAGCATGTTTATATCCAAAATAATGTTTATTTTTATTTTATTAAAATTATATGTGGCTGATTGGTTTGGCATCTCTTACATGTCATATTTTAAAATTAACAATAGCTTAAAGTAGTTTCATGTTTTTGCGATATTGCAATGGATATGAATCACCACTTACACTAAAAAAGAATAAGGGACTGTTCATACCAGTAACTAACTATGAATGCTCAATAAGTATCTGTCTTTGATAGTTTTTGCCAGATCCCTCCATCCTCAAAAAAAACAGTAGTCAATGTTGACTGTGACTATTTCTTCCAAGTTTGTGGCACCAAAGGCTTCTGTTAAACTTTCACATTAATGTTTTTAAGAAGTAATTGATTGTAACTTTTGTTTATTAATATCACCCACTGTTAGAGAGTTCTACACAGTGGCAGCATATTAATTCTTTCAGATGAAGAACCATTTGTTGACAAACTACTGAGCAATCCTCAGTATGAATGAGACCAAATCTTAATAATCTGTGTATGCTTTTCTTATTCATTTAGTATGATATCTTGTATATTAGGAGTTCAATGAATGTTGGTTAACTTGAGAGGGGCACCCTGACTTTTCCATGTTGCCAAGGGTACTTATTTATTCAGAGAGCATCAAGAGTTTCATCAAGCTGTACCAGTTTAACAATCATTTATACAATATTTTCATTTATTATAAAGTAAAGTAATAAGCAACAAAATATATGTTCTATTACTCAAATTTGGCAACAAATTAATTGCATAAAACTGTCAAACATTTTGCCTGTCTTTTCCTCCATAAAATAATTGTTATTTTGTTGAGCATTTACTGTGAACTAGAACTGTCTAAAGTGCTTTATATTTACAGTTCATTTAAGCTTTACCACAAATTTATAAGGTAAGTACCATTATCACCCACATTTTATAGAAGAATAAACTGAGTTGCAAAGAGTTTAAGGAACTTTCCAAAGGATATAGTAAAAATAATTAGCAGACAGAGGATTCACCTATTGTTGATCTGAATGCATAGCCAATTCTTTACTATGCTTTCTTACTGTTCTGATTATTAATTAAATGTAATTGATATAATGTTCCTCATCCATTGACTAATTAGACCAAATTTAGTGGTATAAAGCAGAGTCCTCAAGGACAAAATTGTACAAAAGAAAAAACATTATTTTTATTAAATTTATTGGGGTGACATTGGTTAATAAGATCATATAGGTTTCAAGTGTATATTTCTCTGATACATGATCTGCCTATTGCATTATGCACCCAACAACCAAAATCAAATCATCTTCTGTTACCATATATTTGGCCCCCTTTACACTTTACTATCCCCCACCCCCTTCCCTTTGGAAATAACCATGTTGTTTGTCCATGTCTATGAGTTTCAGTTTTATATCTCACATATGGTTCTTAGCTTTTTCCAACTGACTTATTTTGCTTAGCATACTATTCTAAGGTCCATCCATGTTGTCACAAATAACAGTATTATTTCATCTTTTCTTATGGCTTAGCAGTATTCCAATGTGTGTGTGAATGTATGTATGTATGTGTGTGTGTGTGTGTGTGTGTATATATATATATATATAACATCTTCTTTATGCAACCACCTATCAAAGGACACTTCGGTTGTTTCCATGTCTTGGCCACATTGAATAGTGCTACAATGAACACAGGGCTACATATATCTTTGTGAATAAAGGCTTTCAAGTTTTTTGGGTAGATACCCTGAAGAGAAGGCATCTATATATGAGTGGAACTTCTCTAGCAGATTACTATGAAGAGGTCTTTCTATTACTTTCCAGTGGGTGGAGTTGAATCCCAAGTATTTTAACTTTGTGGCATCCCAGTGCTGTCCGTTGCAGCGAGATGCTGCTCTCAGTGTCGCCACAATGTGTTGGGGTGGGGTAGGCAGAGCCAACCTGGCAGCCTTCTGTGTTGTTTTGCTTTCCTAGTAATGATGACCTCAGGCCTTCCTGGGGTCCACCTGCACCTCAGCCCTGGGACCAGTCACAGAATGAACCCTTTACTCAGGGGAAAAAGTGACTCTGTAGTACCAGTCATGGGCTTGCAAATATTGTACGGGGCAACCTGACACCAAGGGCAGAGGGAGACAAGCTCTTGGAAGTTGCGGTGTGCCCAGGCGCAACGTCTCTGTCTGGAATGCCGACACCGACAGCTGCCACCACACTTTCACGCCGTGTTCTTGTCTAGATCTCTGGGCTCAGCCACAGCGGGCACTGCCCACTCCTGCAGGAATGACCACTGAATCTCTTTGCTCCTCCCAGCTGAAGGCAGTCCAGCCACAACCTGATTCCTCCGCTCTTTTGGCTGAGCCCTGCTATGAGCTCCCCGCTACAGGGCTGCGTCCATGGCGCAGCTCCAAATATTTGGATATCATAGTACATATTCCAAATACTTGGATATCATAGTATATTTATTCAATTTGTATCTCTATTTTTATTAAGTAGAGCTTTTATAATATATATCTAGGTGTGTATTTTTATTCATTGTGGATATTTGCTAATGCCATTAATTTCTCAAACTTCTATTGTATAAAATAACATGCAATCATATAGGTGATACATCCCTGATAAAAGTTCAGATTGTTTGGAGACATGTACACACAAACATACACACACACACACGCACACACACACATCCTGCCCTATATCTGATATCATGAGGATACAATTTTAGAAGTCAATTTTCTGGGCCAAAAACTGATAGTAAAATTTGCAACTTTGCTTCGCAGTATATGAAAGTGGTTGATAAATTTTTAAGTTCACAGCTATCCGAGAAATAGTTGCTTTTTATGTGGTATCAAGTCTTAAAAAAACAACGAACAGCAGTTTTACCTGTAAAATCTCAAGAATTATGACAGAATAAAAATATTGAGAACAAATTAATCTCAAATTATGTCCTAAAATTATACGGCCAAGCCTGCCAAAGTAAAAAGGCATCCTGAAAATATAGCATATAAGTTGCTTCCTGTTAGCATAGAAATGTATGAAATAAATGCTTTAGATATCCAATTATAGTGTGAAAACCCAGCAATAATTCAACAAGGAGGCAACATTGTAATGTGACTCATTTGTTTGTTCTGATAGCATTTAGAAAGATGGCTGATCCCCAGAGCAGAAACAGGCTATGATAAGCATCAAGGAGAAATATTTCCAAGGAAAGCTTGGGAACTAATTTTCACCCACCAGTAAATCTGTTCATCAAAGATATTTTCTGAAATACATCTGCCACTTGCAACATGAGATTCTGGTTACAATTAGCAGCTGCTGTCAGCTCTGCTTCACCTCATTAGTAATCATGGATTTCCCAAGTTATAGGGTTGATTACAGCTTTACAGGTTCTGAAAAAACATGTTGTCTCATTTTACACCTATTTAATGCTGAACAAATTTAAAGTTCAATGAATTTTTTAAGTGCTTTTTTTTTTTTTTTTTTTACTGAGGTCAAATTGAGAGTAAGTCCAAAACAAAAGTGCTGGTGAGAAATTAGTTAAGCCTCAATAAAATGTACATGATTCCACCATAAGCCAGACTAAGTGAATAAGTGCTTTCATATATTATATGTCTCCCTAGTAGTTGCTGATTTTATTACAGAGATTAAAATAATAATAATTTGAAATTATGTCACTAATATCTGCAAAGAAAAAAAAGATTTGAACTATATGTTCAAACATGACATAGATACGTGTGTTTTTGAAGGGGGATGAAGGTTTTATAGTCCATAGCCAGAAAACACATTTCTAAAAAGTGGTAGCTGGAAAGGAAAGAGCATAGCCATAGCCTAATTATACTGACTTATTTATTCAATGGTGTGCCTGGAATTCAGTAAAGAAAAAAGAAATGCTATCTTTGACATATTTTTTCATATATCAATTTGTTCTGGTGCCTAAAATTTAACTTACGTGTGTTTTTCTGTAGTAGATATAATTACAGACATCTGATGTGTGTTTGTGAAAGACAGAACACAAAACAAAGAGACAAACGAACAAAAAACAAAGAGCATCCAACTAACCCAGATTTCAGCTTCCACAGGCTCTGTTCTCTGGTGATCTTTTTTACTTGCTATTTGTAGCCTATATGATTGGATCCTGTCTCTGCAGAAGGTATTCATTCAAAAAATTATGCCAGTGGTCATTTTTTAAAATTATTGCTCAAATTCCATGTAAGGAGATCAATAAAATGTTGTTTTAATAGGCAATCTGCTGGCACACAGAGATAGCTTTGTCCTGTATTAAATGTTTATAGGGCTCTTTCTGCTCATTTGTTGTAATCCAGTACATTTATTATTAATAGGTAAACCGGAATGGCCTATTCTGCATTGAAAATAAAATATTGCTTGCTAAGTAAATAAAATTATCCCTGGAATTTGAAAAACTGCAGGACATTATTTGCAAGGGGGCAAATTTCAGAATATAGAACTGAAAGTTTGCAGTGTTAATGTTAAAGTAAGCCATTTCTAAATCATCAAAGTGATAGTCCTTCATGAATTCTTAACTTAAAAACAGTGTCTTTCAAGTTTGAACCTAAAAGTAGAGCAGCCAAAATTCAGATCTATTTTGATTCCACATAAGCTCCAAGTGAGTCAAAACTAGGTTTGTGTAATGTTAGGATGGTTAGCTATTCTTCAACCAGAGAAACTATTGTACAAATCTGTAGGGCAAGTAGCAGTGGGCACAAAGGGATTTTTATTTTCCTCTTTGGTATTCAACGTGAACAGTAGGAAGAAATCCAAGATCTATTCTACCATAAGCAGATAATGATTAACTATTGACCTTTCCAATAATGGAGGGAAATACATGAAGGTGAATATTATGAATTGAGTCCCATTCATTGCATAGATGTGGCTATGTTGTTTACTTTGCTGTCTTTTTTTTTCATTTTAGATTGTTTTTATTCTTAAGCAGAATTAAGAAAAATAAGCCATTATTTTAATGTTTCAGTGACTTTTTCAGCCCACATTAGGAACTAAATTGTAGACAGTATAGTTGATTTAATTTTAGCACTATTAAACAACAGAGATTAAAACAATTAATATGACTGTCATTCTCAATTTTAGTACATTAATAGTGATCTTAAGAATAAGAATTATCTCAGATTCTTGTCTGACAAAGAATTCTTGGTTAAAACCAATAGAGCTTTTGCTTTTAGGAATTATTTATATATCATTATGTATTTTATATATTTATTATTATATTTAGGTTTCTAATTATGTCCTACCTAGGATTTCCCACTCCAGAAGTATAGCTACCCTTTCTTGTGCTGTTACCATATGTCATATGAGTTTTTCAAAAAATCCAAATATTTTCATAATAATTATGTAGGAAAATTACAATCACGATTATTGAAAAAGTGAGGGAACACTGCTATTTCCATTCAGCTGTATCATTCATTGCACTACCCTTCCAAAGGATGGCAAGGGGGTGACTGAGCCAGTTCCATATTTTGGGAGTAAGGTACAGAAAGAAACCTGGGAACAACTATTTAAAGTTTTTAGCTATTTCACTTTTTAGTTATTCCACTTTTAAGATGAAAAGAAGTATATATATATGTGTATATATATATATGTGTGTATATATATGTGTGTGTGNGAAAAGAAGTATATATATATGTGTATATATATATATGTGTGTATATATATATGTGTGTGTATATATATGTGTGTGTATACATATATACACACATATATATGCCACAAACTCACTTTGAAGCAGTATTTGTGAGCCTGAACAAATCATTTACCAAGTTTAGTGGAAAATAAATTAGGAAAACACCATCATGTACTATGTTAAATTGTTTAAATTATTTTTGAATTCTGCGTTTACTGACATATGCCTTAAATTCCACATAATTCACATACTAATTGACTAAGTCACATGCTCTTTATTAAAACAACTCAACTCTCCAAAAAATTATATCATTTAGATAAATGTATTTTCATCCAATGTTTAAAAATTGCCAGTATTTCACAATATTTAGAAACCTAAATATATATTATTTATGTTTGTCAAAGTCAGTGCCTGATAGTAAATATATTGCAGATTTATATGGGAACTGTTATCTCCTAAATCACCAGATTAAAAAGGAATTCATTTGTTAAGTGTTTTTAATAGATTCCTAGAAAAATGAAGATGACACCAGATGCTGATTAGTCTATTAGTTGCCTGTAACTGTTTCTTATTTTTACCAGTTTACCCCATGGTCTATCACCTTGCTATTCAAACCTTGTCCATGAATTTACCACATGGGATTCATCCAAGAGTTTGTTAGAAATGCAGAATCCCAGCTCCCACACTAGACCTACTGAATCAAAATTTGTTTTTAACATTTTTTCCCAATGTGATTCATGTAGAAACTAGTATTTTACTTTTCTGCTTTCTTTTATTTTTAAGGGTACATATGATTACTTTAGGCCCATCTAGATAATCAAGGCTAATCTCCATCTCCATTTTTTTTACCTTAGTCACATCTGCAAAGTAACTTTTACCATGTAAAGTAACATAATCACAGGTTCCAGGGATATGGAGATAGACATACTTTAGGGAGTGGCATTATTTTGCCAACCATAGAATGATACAAAGTTTATGGTGACATCTTCCATATCTAGACCTAATGAGAAATATTCATGGAACTCTGTGAAAATGCCTCTTCATTTTTATTTGGAATAGGTTGGATTCAGCTGTGTTCTTTGAATAGTCTTTCAAAAGCAATGAACAGCCACTCCATGTTCACTTACGCTCATAAGGACTCTGTGGACACGTGTCCTTACATGTTTTTTAAACAATTTCTATTTACCCAATGCAATTGACTCTCTCAAGTTTAATGTAACTGCTTAGTATGTCTCAAGCACTGCATGGGTCTATGATAGGATAATTAAACCAAGTGACAATTAAAAACTTACCAAAGGCTGCCACAAGGGCTCATGAGTATAAATTATGACTGAAGTATGTGTAATCATGGAACTGTAATAATGGAAATAGCCAAAAATATCAGATTGTCTAAAATGACAATTACACTCAATAAAAAAATCAAAAAAGTTCTCACCATTTTACTGGCCATGTCTTGATCAGAACCTTGTTTTGTATGCCTCTAAGCTTAAGAAATAGTAAGTGAACTAATCTTAAAACAACGCTTGGGTTTATGAGTCTCTTTTCTTTTAGATACTCTGTTGATCGGCACACTGATATGGATCGGATTTTCAGTATCCATGCAGAAAATGGCTCTATTTTCACTTTAAAGCCCCTTGACCGGGAATCATCTCCATGGCACAACATCACCATTATAGCCACAGAAATAAGTAAGTTGAAAATACATCCATCTGAACACATTATTTTTCACCAAAGTGATAAAATAATGGCATTAAGTAGACTCTTTTTCTTGAGTGGGATGATTTTATCATTAGAAAGATCTGAGAAAAATGATTTAGAGTGCCTGGGTTTTTTCATTATTTTAATGATTACCAAATATTCATCTATTTTAAACTTGATTTTCTTTATACAGTGCCATAAGATAGAAATGTAATTTAACCTCATAAAATAAGCAGTCTAAAGAATTATCTCTTACAAAATAATATTTTATTATCTATCATATTCTCCTCTTTTGGTCATGCTTCCCATCTGGACCATGTAAGAAAGCTGAGATATCCATCAGCAATCCAATCAAGTAGTGAATTCCACAGAAATGATCTGTTGCTAAGTTACAAATGGGGAGAGTGGTATCACTGCTTCTCTGTAAGTGCGACTGAAATCTCCTACATGTTCTTGTTGCAGATAACTCAAAACAAAGTAGTGAAATTCCTGTCTTCATCAGAATTCTAGATATAAATGACCATGCTCCGGAATTTGCCATGTACTATGAAACATTTGTTTGTGAAAATGCAAAACCTGGGCAGGTAAATAAAATTATTATAAACTAGAAATAACATTTCCTCTTCACAGGTACTGGGGATTAGGGCTTGAATATATATTTTGGAGGGATACAAGTCAACTGATAATAGCCTATAGATATTCTTTACTTGTCTATTAGTATGCCTTTCTTTTTTTTATTCATGTGAGTTATTGATATATTACAAATTGATGTTTTATAATGATAAAATATAATATTAACTGATTATTTTAATATATATACTACTATTAAAATATCTATATCATTTCCATATAGTTGATGTAAAATAATTTTCTTGAAAAAATTAACAAGAATAAAAAGAAAACATAATATATTTTAAGCTACTAATATGTATTCTCTCTTAAAATATGCTTAAACAATGATCCATCTAATCATTTCAAGAACTCATAGTCATGTAATCAAAGGACCAATGTTGTTTATGATTTAAAATACTATATATATATGTTTTTGCTACTCTGGAACAGAATATTGAATAAGAATACTATGTACATTATTTTCTATGTCATGCTTCTAAGGAGAAACAGGGGATTCAGTTTGTATTAATAATTGTGCACTTTCAGAAGCACAGTTATTAAAAACACCTAAGGTTACATGTCACTCTGTCAAAATGAATGAAATTATGGTTAATATCAAAGTACAGAAGAAACCTCTTGACTAGTGAGCCTGCAGATTAGTGAGCCTATAGAAGGTGCACAACCAAAAAACTACTGTGAAATTCTAATAACTGTTCATAAAAGAATGTTGGACTCTGTTACCTGGAAGTGGTGCAACTGTTTCTGTAGAAGAGACATTTAAAAGTAAGAGCAATTAAGTGGCTGTGATTTCAAATCTCACAGATGGCATGCCCCAGACTAGAAAAACAGGCACTGTGATGTGTAACTTAGTGTTTTTTCCATAATAAAGTGCTCAGTGGAATTTTTGCACCCAATTTGTCATTTGCTGCTCCAATCATCGCACTAGAGCACACCTCTGACTTACAGTGAGCCTAGCTAAGAGGTTTTGTAATTTCTCCGCTTTGACACTGATTTTACAAAACTTTAGAAGCATTATTTGTGTATTTTTCTAAACTTTGCAAATACCACTGAAAAAGGCAAATAATTTGAATAAAATATACAATATGACTGTAGTTATGGGGCCCCGTAGTTGTACAATCTTTTGATTGCTGATACTATAGGACCTATTTCTCATTTTCCAAAACTATATTAATAGTGATTTTAATCTATAGGAGGTGGTTATGCTAAGCACTTACATTTTAAAAAATTCATCTGTTCTCTGCCTTTGAGACAACCATTATCTAGTGGAGACAACAGATTGGTAACCAATTAACAAAAAAAAAGACTGGCGCCTTCTAAAAAAGTTCAAAGAGGATTGGTGCTAGAGTGGTAAAATTTTCCTTTAAAGTTTCCTTTCCACTGGCCAGGAATCAGGCAATGACTCATAGAGGTACCCTTAACTAATACTTGATGGACATTTTTCATTCTGGATTAATTCAGTTACGTTAGATATAACCATAAAAAACCTTGGCATAATTTTCTGAAGATGGTGTATTTTTTTGTTTCTTTAATTTCAGTGGTATATTTAAATATGCAGAAACCTAAGCATATACCGTTCTTTTTTACAGGCAAAAGGAAAGAAACCATTATTTGTACAGTTGATCCTGGAAAATATATGGAGTTTGTATGATGCTGTCTTTTAAAGGTTAAAGCACAAAAATGCCTTATAACAACAAGAATTGCATAGTGCTGTGCTTTACTTAATGTATTTTGTTTCAGTTGATTCAGACTGTCAGTGTCATGGACAAAGACGATCCTCCCCGAGGACACAAGTTCTTCTTTGAACCAGTACCAGAGTTTCCCCTCAACCCAAACTTCACCATTGTAGATAATAAAGGTATAGAGCACTTTTTAAAACAAAAAAATGATGACCTTCAGATGCACTATTAAATACTGATGTGAGTTGTTTCCCCCTCGCCTCCCCCGCCCCCCCCC